CCGACTGAAACTGAATTAATATTAGAATTCAGATGATGTATGTGAAGAATAGATCATATTATTTTGCAGAAGACGTGTATAAATGGAGAAATTACTGTTAGTTAATAAGACGATTGTAGTAAAAGCCATGCAAGAAACACTACAGTGCTCTTTCTTAATAATGGCTAATATTACTGTGTGAGGAGCAGTATATAACCTTCTTTATGGCGTTATTTGACATTGAAAAAAGACAATGCCTCCTTAAAGAAGGAAAGAATGGAGTTGTGTATGAAACAGTGTCACACAACTTGCATTTAACAAGAATCCATGACAACAAAACAACATATTTTATACTACAGCTTGCAGATTTTCAGTTTCATAGTTACATATTGAAGTGATTATGAAAGTGGTCGTATGCCATCTAATTATTTAATACATAAACGTAGTATGCAAACAAACATTTTTAATATATGTACTCGAAACCATTTGGTTGTGCAGTCCATTGTAGACTTTACATTGCACCAGTTTTGTAGGAAGAGAAGACTTTGATTTGTATAATGGATACTGAAATGATAAAAATGTAATTAGGTATTTGTGTGATCACATTGTAACCAACTTATGAAAGTTGTCATTTAGATCACTGTGATTAGGATTGTGAAACAGATGGATCCTTCATCATTACCTTTAATTTGGAACTAGTGAAATTTGTACATTTAATTTGTGAATTTTTACTGGTTGTTGAAGGTGATGCTCACTCGATCATCCTTATCAATCCAGAATACAAAGACATTTCATATTGTTGCATGGACTTGTTTTGTTTCAAACTTCAGTGTCTTCCTACAGACTTTTTTTATATAAAATTGAGAATAATTATTTTACCATTTATTGAAATTTGTCCATATAAAATGAGTGGATTGTAGGGAACTTTGGTAAGAAAAAGTCCCAATTCCATATAAAAGAAACATGTATCAGTTTCCTTCATTTTAGTCTTGATACTTCTGATAAAATGATTCTATATACTATCTGGACTTTATTCATTGAAGTTTTATTAAACTGTTTTATTGTATACAACACATTATATAGAATTGTAGAGTTACGTGGGACATCTTGGTGCTGTATGACGAAAAGTAGTACTTGCATATTTCTACATTTACTGTAGGTGACAAATTATTGACTGTTATGTATCTCACTGGAACAGTACATTTTCTGCAGATTTATTTGATTTGTGACAAGAATTCAGTCTTCTGGGTTGTTGCGCCTTGTAGTCTGGTCGATGTTCACCAACGTTTCAGAGGTCATACTGCCTCCGTCAGGGCGATTGGTTGGTTCGTAAACATTGACCAGACTACTCAGCGCAACAACCCAGGAGACTGAAATCTTCACACTCACCACTGTGAAAACCTCAAATCTTACAAGAATTCTCACATTTACTACTTATTATTTCACTGTATCTTGTATTTACCTGAAGTGGCATCTTCTGAAACACCTTAACTGCAGTCATACTGTATGTCAGATCTGCACAAATCGCTTATAAATTCAGGAATCTTCTCCAAAACTAGTTACCAAAGTAGAGAACAAAATACTTTGGTTGAGAAAGTTGCTCATTTTTATTGACACAAGGACAATTTAAACATACTAATCTGAATATGTATTATATAGACAAGAAATTAAAACTTGTGTTTTTTTATTGCTAGTGTCTGAATTGTCAGTTGTCAGCATTAATATTTCTTTCTGTGCAGTTATCATCAAATGAAAGAAACTAAGTTTCTTTGCGTCATCTGGTATATCAGAAATGTTAATGGTATTTTTTTAATTGTGATAAAGATTATGAAATACACATTGTTTTCACAGATAAGATAAAAGATTTGTTTCCATAGTTACTCCCACAGGTCCAGTACTGTTTATCAGAAAGTCTTTTGTAGCCATACATGTCTTGTTTTAGCACTGGAATGAATACCAATGCCCTTGAAGGGTCAGATATTTTCTAGTAGTGATGGCCCATCCATACTATTGGGCAGTAAGTGTTTCTTTTCGTATTTTGTAATTTGTCCCACTTATTGCTGTGTATTTCATGGTTGAGTAAATAACCCATAATTATCTCACTTTTTGTTAGAAATGCATACACACACACACACACACACACACACACACAAATCAGTGGATGAAATCAGACTCTCAGTTCAGATTCAGACTCAAACATGTGTTAATGTATCTGGCAGTGCACGATTTCCATCGTAAGAAATGCGCAGTCAAACAGTTTATGTTCCAGGAGACTATTGTAATTTGTGCAGATGAGGTATGAAAGACATCACCTTACCGCATGCAAGAACTGTACCTGCTGTGTGACAGATTATAACAACTCCTATCTAAAGGGTACCGGGGGTCCTTTCCTGGGGGTAAAGCACAGCTTGGGCATGATGCTGACCGCCCATCTAGTGCCGAGGTTAAGAATCAGTAGGAGCTATAATTGTTTATTAACTTCTAGCCTCTAACTATGAGAAATTTACTTTTGTAAAATGCGTTTGAATGGCAAGTTTTACAACATGGTGATGACATTCTGGTAATGTAAAACATTAACTACAATATTTGAAGTTTTCATCTTCCTATAATGTTCACAGCATTGCACTAGAAGTTTTATTTTCACACTGATGTGGTTTTTCGTACTTAAGTTGAATGCCTTAATAGTGCATAGATCCTACATAGTGGTGTATTCCTTCACTATATATATTACCACATACTTTTAAAGTAGTTCTCTTTCTTTTTCTATACATACGTTGAGAAATGATTAAAAAAAGATAGTGTGTGACTGTTTTGTGACGATGCCACGCATTATTTTGTAAATGAAGACAGGAAGATACAAATAGGCATAATAGTTATATTAATTTTAAGAAGGGAGTACAGATGTACTATTTTAAAATGCAACCCAAGAAGTCATGTACTGTGGAACAAAAATTAAATCAGAAGCAGGTGCACTGCTGTGTAATATAACCTCACAACTTTCCCCGTGTCACTCAAGTCAAGGCTACCATTTGCACAGAAGCCGTGTAAACATGAGCAGAACATATGTTCATTCTTGCATTCCATCCAGATCATTTGCTGCTCTTTGTGAATTATTTAGAAAATCATATCCTTAGTCAAAAGTACCAAAAGAGACAACAGTACATTGACCAGTAGTAACATTTTGGGACAGAGGAAGTGTTTGTGTATCTTTGAGAAGGTGGTGGACATCTGCTGTTAAGATGTGTAAGTTTTTTCTAATAAATAAAAACTAAAATTAGCTCATCTTGTAATATTGATATTACCCAAGCTTAAAATGCTGCTGTAGTTAGAGTTGTGTTTTAAATGGAACATTCTGTATTCTGTTTATATGACTGGCAAAATGATGACTTAAGTTTCAGTTTTCCTTGTCCTCAAATTAGCTGATTCCATCCTACCAACATTAAAGTCCAGTTCACAAAAAGATTTGTTAGAAAATTAAAAATTTGTGTAAATTAAAATGTGAAATGGTGGAGTAAAAATGTGCTGAAACTGTAAGAACTGGATTTTAGATATTCTTCTTCATCTTTTCCACCATTTTGATAGTTCTATGTGGGGGGAGGGAAAAAGAAAACTAACTGAAGCATCACCCATTTATATTAATGAGCTGGAGAACTGTGTACATGGTTTCAATTCTGTCTGGTCTTGGGGTGCTACCAGTACAGCATTTTTAGGAAAACAATAAATTGAAGTGAATTCTGTTCGTGACTTCAAATACGTTTTTGGTTTTAGTATGAATATCCCTGTCTAATAATTTGTAGTCAGATTTTATTATAGTATTACAGACACAAAGATAGAAGAGGAAATAGGCCACAAATTTTTGTGAGCATATAAGAACAACTTCCTTCTTAAGCATGTTGAATTATTTATTAACCCTGTATGATGATTTATAATGGCTGCAGTAAATAAACAAGTGGAAATGTTAAAACATTAGACAATTTTACTGCATGTTTTATTAGTTGGTTTTTGTGGACAGTTACTGGGGAAGGAAATGGCAGGTAAGAGATTTATTTGTTTTTCTTGTGGAAGTTCAGTGTATATGTTTCATTATAGTCACTTTGCCACCAAGCAGTAAAAGTTTACTTACTAATGTTACGTTGCATTTCTTAGTTCCATATTATTTACATATAGAAATTGTGATTTGTATGTCTGACCCTTATTTCCACTTCATTGGTACATTAAGTTTTCTTATTCTAGAAAGTAAGAACTAATAAATATTATGAAATAATGCAACTGAAAACATACTATGTCAACAAATTATTACTTTCATTCTGCAATATGGAAGTACAGGAGTAAGAACTTTAAATATGTGTATTGTATATATTGTTTGAAAGGAATGTTTCATGATCATGACTAAACTTCTAAGTTGAAACAGCAGTGATAAATTATTTCAAAATGATTCTGATGAAGGTGTTATCACAATTACAATAGCTATATTTTGTTGGATTTAATCCATCTTTATGGTTTTCCAGGATGATGTTATGAAAATTAATTGTAATACTGTCAATCTGCTAAGGTCTGGAATACTAAGCTCAGTCATTCTGAGTAAAGAAGTGTGTTGTATGCTGATTTACAAGTGTGCAAAACTGCATATGTTGTTCACATAGCTGTTGAGGTGGAAAATGTTTTATCTTTTAATTAAGTTTGATCAGTGCTATTGGTTCATATTTAAGCGACTCAGTAGTGTTATATAGGTTGAATGTTCCCACATTGAAAACATTTTCACATAAGAAATGTCTCCATAAATTTATGTTTTGATATCCTCTGCAATATTGTATCGTGAGTATTTATGACAACCAGTCATTTGAAATTATATTTATTTTTTATTGCCTTGTATAATTGTGCATGAACAATTGGCATGAAGACTTCATAGATTCAGAATTTCCTAGTGATGTTTTAGTTTGTTAACTGTAAAAAATTTGCATTTATAATAAGAAAATTTTTGTGGATTTGCAGTGACTGTAGAGTATGTATGATTGTTTCAGTATCTCGACGTGGGCTGGATGTGATGCGGGTTCGTGCCACCGATCCTCGTCCTTGTCCTAAGTGTGGAAAGATTTACCGTTCGGCACACACCCTGCGCACACATTTGGAGGATAAGCATACTGTGTGCCCAGGGTATCGCTGTGTTCTGTGTGGTACAGTGGCAAAGTCTCGCAACTCGCTTCATTCTCACATGAGCCGACAGCATCGTGGCATCAGCACAAAAGATCTGCCAGTTTTACCGATGCCATCACCATTTGACCCAGATCTGGCATCTCGGCTTCTGGCAAAGGCAGGTGTCAAAGTTTCAGCCGCCGAATTGCGCGCTCGAGCATCGCCTACAGGCCCTCGCCGTCCTGATGTGCGCCTAGAGGTGAAGTCAAACCACATAGGTGCACCATCAGAAGCCGGAAGCAGCCTGTATGGTGGTGATGATCCTGAGGACCTCACAGTTGCCAACTCAAGGTTTGGTCCCTTATCTCCACCACCACCCACCGTCCACAATTCTGCTGCTGTCATCACCAAGGTAGGTTCCAAACATCACCACGGAATCCCAGTTACCTCTGCTGGCAAGTCCATAGACTCAATTGCACACAATCTGGTGGTTGGTGGTGGCAGCAGAATGGGAGAATCGAACCGTGTACCACCTCCTCCTCCTCCTCCACCTCTGCCTGCACCAACAGGATCCTGTATGGGCAGTGCCATCCTGGACACGTACCTTCAGTTTATAGCAGAAAACTCCAGCAACAGCTTAGGGCTCGGTTTGAGCAGCAAGCATGCAGCAGTTGCAGCAGTGGCAGCAGCAATGAATGAGGGAGACAACAGTAAGTTGGGAGAGAGGGAGGAAAATGAGATTGGAGAGGTTGAGGATAGAGGTGCAGATGAGGAAATAGAGGAACTGGAATCCTCAGCAGGAGAAGAGGAGGATGAATACAGTGAGGAGGAACAGGAAGTCATCAAAGCAGAGTGAAAATATCGCCCTTCGGCCAAGCCGCACATGAATTCCATCCAACTACCTCACATTGGAATAGTAGCCCATACTGATGATGGTTCCATTCCAAGAAAGGAGGGAACCCTTAGCCAAGCAATTCATGCCAAAAGGAAATGAACACAGGACAAGAATATTTGTGTAAGCAAATTTACTTCCTGTATTATTCCTAGTTTCTTTTATTTATTTTTTTTAACAGTACAGCCTCATTTATGGGAATGTTGAGTAATGTAGGAGAAAAACAAATGTAACATATATGACTGAATGAAATTCCATCCTTCTACCTCAAATCAGTTATGTTGAAATATCAGAAGGGGTTTCCTCCCATTCATTTAATAAGTGAATTTTAAAAAGAGAATATGTAAAACAGTCTCCATCCAGTAATTCCCCACATAGTGGAATCACAGTTAAAAGAAATCAGGGGTATGTATACGGTTAAAAAATTGGCTTCGCGTGTTAGGTACTGTATATATATGTGGTGCTTCAACTCTCCTTGAGGTTGCAAAAGCAGGAAATTTTATTGTTTGTATTAGGAGGGAGCTATCAAAAGATGCGTCATTTCATCTGATAATAAAGTAAAGGAATTTTAAATTTGTTATTTGCAAAAAGAAATGACAGTTGAATGAGGTTGAAGTAATAGAACTATGTATCTAAGCCAGATGACTGTTCATTTAAAAACCATTGACATATTTTCCAGTGTTCTTGGAAGTTTTGTGTGAAATTTACTAAAATAATGTTATGTAAATAAATTTTACAAAATCACATTACTGGTATGAGGTATTGTGGACTAGGATAGTAAGAGTAATAATTGTGTAGACATCATAGATGTTCTGAATCCACTGTGCATCAGATAGAATGATGAAGATTACACTTTTTATTTCTTACTTGCTGCAGTTATATTGCTTCCAAGGACACTGATTAAGACAGTGAAAAATAAGAGTGGATGTGATTATTTGTACTGGTGATTATTGTATGATAATGGAGTTAACTAAAATTTTGCATGACACATGGTGACATTACCCTGCAGAGGTTCCTAACAGATAAACATTTAATATACATGATTACTTAATGTTGAGGGTTCCTGCTCGCAAATGTGACTGTGTAGCACAATAAAGGCAACAGTCCTCTGCAGAAAAAGAGAGAGATGGACTATAATATTGCAGAATCGTTCCTAAATCAAAGTCCAGTCAGGATTTTAGCTCACATTTTCTTTTAAACTAGCTAGTCCTGATATGCTAGCATAGTTTGAGTGACTAAACTCTCATCCTGTTTCATTCATTTATGAATAAACAATAGATGTGCTTCAGAAGGTAGATACATTATGGGCAGGATAGTAGAATATTTTTCATAAACATTATTACTAAAGGATTTTTGTGATAGGCAAGTAACTTTAGTTTATTGCTAATGCAGTAGGATGGATGCATATTGCTTTACATACGTTTATGTATCGTATTTGAGGAAACACTCTTGGCTTTAGTACAATACTACTCTGTCAGAGTAGAAAATGGAATATGGGTCTGTAATGATGAACTAGATTATCAGCAACCCAGTGCTGTGCAATGTGGACTGATTTGTTGCATACCTATCGAGGCATGAAAATGTGGCTTCCAAGAAAGCTTATAGCAGTCTGTTAATACCTCTTACAAGTGGAATTTTTAACTTACCTCATTTTGCTTGTCAGACCTTAAAAGATGATGAAGATGCAGTATATAAATACATAGTCTTGGGAGTTTTAATTTTGTCTAAAAGTTTTATAAAGTACAAAGTCTCTGGGAATAAATACAGGTGCTGTTCATTTTAGGTATTCTCTCACAGGAGTATCTGAGCATGGCACGCCACCATCTTACCTCATAGTTCACACAATACCTCAGTGCAGTATATAATTATTCACGCAAATCTACCATTGTTGGGGGTTTGCCTTACACTCCTCAGGAACACGCGCATAACTGAGTAAACTAAGGCATTTGGACACACAGTCATATCATCCATTTTGTGCCATTGTATTATTTTTATTTTTTACGAGAATCATTATATGTCACAACAGAGCATTGGAGAACACTTCTGGTATGAGATATAGTCATACTCCAGTCTTTGTGTCATCAGGATTGAACTTCAAAAGTGATAATAGAATGATGTATAAGCAGGCATACTGCAGTAACTTTGATATGTTTGTTTATTGATATATTTTAATTCAGTGTAAGAGTTTTGGAGATAACATACAATAATATATACTTGTGGATCATGGTATTCTGGATTGTGACAGATGGAGGTCATATATTCCTTCATAATGTTGGTATCACCAACAAGACTACTTGGCAGCATCACAACCCAGAAGACGGTGACCCACATATTCATCGCTGTCAAGAACTTGAAATCTCGTGTAATATTTAGTTGATGTGAGAAGTTTCTTGACAAGTTCTGTGACTAGAGATTAAGTAGTATGGTATTAGTTGGCACATCATGCACATAAAAGCTGCATACACACATATATGTACATAATTATATGCCCTCACATACATGAATTGTGAAGTTCATGTAATTAATTATCTTCCAGTTGGTATTATAATAGGTCTGTTACATAACTTCCATAATACTACTTTTCAGTAGATCTTCCATTGTTGTATACAACTAAACATAATTACTCAATGTTTTCAGGTATTTTTTTATTGTTTTCATGATTTCTGTTTTTGACGCAGAAGTTCACTTCCTGTAGTACTTATTTTTATACCTCGCTTAATATTAACATGGTTTAAGGGCTGTTATGTGACTTCTCCTTCCGTTATCATTCAGTCCTGATGGTCTGTTCACATCAAGCTCTGGGACAATCAACCCCCCAACTTTGAAGTTCAACATAACAGATAGTTTTAATGCAGATAATTGTTATGTATGAAGTTAAATGCTGAAAAATGACTCCCTTGTATGATTAATGTATAGATCGGTGTGAACAGTCTTGTATTATTATTATTATTATTATTATTATTATTATTATACCACTATTGTTATTATGGTTACTAGTATTATAACTACAGCTGTCATCACCACCACTGTCATCATTATCATTATTTAGACAGAATGTAGATGCAGATGGATTTTGAAACAAGTTTACCCTGAAAATTTTATTGTTAACCCTGTCTTTTATTATTGTTTCTGAATTGTTGTTTTGGTCTGTTCTGATGCTGATATTTTTATCTGATTTTGAAAAGTATTATATCAGCTTGGAATCCAGTGAAAGAAAATGTTGAAACAAAGTCTTGTGTAATGCTGTTTGGGGAAAGTCTGGCTTTCTAGAGATTCACTGCAGTGCACAAGCCACCTGAACAGTGTGTCTAAATATATAGGAAGTTGTATCTGACATGAACACTAACAGGTGGAGACAACGCAGTGTGGATATGTGTTAGTTGTTACTGCAGTTTTCATTAACTTCTCATGAAGTCAGACATGACAGTTAAAAATAAGAATATTACTCTGAAGTTGTAATGAGTGTCATCACATTAGAGATTAAGATAATTAGGCGTGCTTTTTACTGTTCCGTGAAAAAGTAATGTAAAAATTATAAAAAAGAAAGGTGCTTTTATCTTTTTTTCTTCTTATTGCTTGTATAGTTTCTTTTTCTTTTTAAAGCAAATTTAGATTAAATTGTAAATAACAATTATGAATGATAGTCTGAAGAAAAGGTAAAGATTCTTTAGCTATTTGAATTTATAGATTTGATTATATATTAGATAGCTTTGTTGGAAAATTTCAGGATTATATATATATATGATAATAGTATGAGAAATTGGTACTAACCAAACCATCATATTGTTTTGTCAGTGTGATAATTGATCGTAGCCTCTGACTGTTTCCCAGTTGATCCTCCCGGTACTCTTGAGTCATATTGGACTAGCTTGGTTCAGCTTCCCTCCAGTTTTAACCTAGTTATTTAGTTTTATATAGTAATATTATCGTTCCATTTGTTGACCGCTGCGTGGCGCGGTGCATTACAAAATGAGACATGACCATGCGGTTTGATGGTCACTCACCGCATGACACGTAACGTACTGAAGACTAGCTTTCTGTCGTCCACAGAAGCAACAATACTACTCATACTACCTCATTACAATGGTTTATTGTAAATTAAGTGTACCCTAGAAATAAGTGTATGTTAGTTACTAGGTTATACAATAATACTAGAAGAAACAAAAAATCAGCAAATTGTTGTGCTGTGTATGATAACTGTAGTACAACAAACAACTACTTAATGTATGGCAAGAATAACAAGATGTGTTGTTAGTTTTATAAATGGATTTTTTTAAAATTCTTTTGTGACCAGTGTTGATGTCTGGACTGAAAGATTTGTACTACATTTCTCGAGTTAAATGTTGTTAGGAATGTGGATATTAAGTCAGCCAGAATCAGAATTTGAATTTTTATATTTTGTTTTATGCATGTTTAATCTTCATTGTAGTACTTTTTTAAAGGGAAAGAAATTATTTCATTTTGTTTTATGTCAGTTTTCTGGTATATTATTAGATATATAAAAATTATAAATTATGTATTGAAACATAAATAGAAACCTCAACTTTTTTGGTGTAAATTGTAGAAAGTGAGGTCTGTGTTTTACATGTTTGCGAGCTTATATAAACAGTGAAGAGAAATAGTGTTTGTATTCAGTGCCATATTTACAGAGAAGGAATTTTGTTTGTTTTTGTTTTTACTTTTTTTTAATTACCGAGGGCTCGGCAGGCAAAACAATGTGGTTCCTAAGTGTAGAGTACAGTTCCTCAACAATGGTAAAGATGGCATCTGTGTTCCATTTATAATAGTGATAAGATCATAATGCTACAGCTAACAAAATTGTGGGGCATGCATTAAACATGTTAAATACAAGCAGTTAAGGTGGTAAATGAAATTCCATTTGTTGTTGCATTACCACACTGAGTATTCAGTTAAAAAATGAAAGCATGTGTTGTAGACATTGTTGCATATCCTTTATATTGTAGCTCAGTTTTAAGATCAAGTTATCTGTCTTTAATTAAACTCAAATTGTAGGGATAAATAGTACTCGCAGATTACCTTGCAGAAATATTTGCTCTTCTGGTTTTCTTAATCTAAATTTGAAATTTTTTTATGCAACTTCATAATTTTGACAAAAACTTTTGAAGAGAATCTTGACAGGTAGTTCTCCCCTGTTCTCAAGATATTTATGAATTAATTTCACATTTTGTATTATGTATTACAAATATGAGTTTGTCATTTATTAATATTGGCGCATAATACGCGATTTACAGGTTAAAACTGACATGCATGCCTCAGATAACTAGCTGATTTTTGTAATGCATTTTAGTTTGAGGGCTTTTTATTCCCTTGTATGGAGAGGTTAGCTTATTGTTGAGGGACTTTGTGCCTTCTTTGTACAGCATGATATGATTAAAATGATATTAGAGCACGTGTCAAATAGAGTAAAAGGCAGCCAGCACAAATTTGGTTGGCTGTTTTTTCAGGTGTTCACAGTTCCTATCTTGCTCCCTAATAAAGAAGAAATAATAAAAGAACTTTTTATAGGTTAGAAAAAGTAGGAGAAATTACACACATACGCATTATTACATATTTTGCTGTAGAAGCATGAGAAATGCATACATAGTAGATGTGAAAAATCAAGGAAAGAGGCAATCAATTTGGTTAGTAGTTTTAACTTCTTTTTATATGTATGTTTAATTATTCCTTATGTTTAGTTGATCATTTATGATGAAGTTTTTCAGTTTCTTCCCATTTAAAGTTAAGAAAGGTAGACTTTCACAACACGGAGCTCTGCATAATGGAGGGAAACATGAAATATATCTCATTGTAGACAGCTACACACATCCCACTTATTTACCTTACATTACACACAGGTTATTAACTCAGGTAAAATATTGATTGTAATAGAAACAGTATTTTTGTTACTTCTTTTGTAACATTTACCCAGTGGTTTTTTATATCTCTCACACACTGAATGTATATAGATTGTCCGCTCAGGATTGTGCTTTTTCTCAGTGTCTTTCAAGGTCAGTCTGTCTATAATTAGTGCACGTAAGATACTGGCCTTGACAGACATAAGTCTCTACAAGAATTTAACAAACTTCCTCCCTGTTGCTAGTCCGTGTTGTGAGGTGAACAAGCTCTGACAACTGTGGGAGTTCAGAACCTCCGCAGACACAATATGCTATTCTTCAGAATCTGTAATTAAGAATTATTATATATAAATATGATATATGTATACAATGAATTGTTCTGTGCATTTACTGTAGCGTCATTTTTTTTTAACTTTTAGTTGAATAGTATAATAGTCTTAAACATGTGGAACAATTTAGTAACAAATGAGTCAAGTGAAAATAATTGACTTCTTATAGATAACTTTTTTTTTACATCGAGTACTAAAGGCTTTGTAACAGCATTTTGCACACAAAATCAGTTTTATTTGCTGTACTACTGTTCAACATGTAGTGTGCACTGACTTTGTTCAAAACGATAGCAAGGCAGCAAAGAAGGGATGTAATATTGTCTTTTATTTTTATGATAGCTGAACTTCGTGTATGATTTGTGTTGCATTAATTTAATTGATATAGGTTCCTTATATCGCTCAATTGGCAGTACACCAGATTTTCAGTTGTTCTTTCCACAGTCCTTATTCCTATTCCATTTCACAGTTTAATTCTCATAACAAATTAATAAAATATTTGTTCCTAAGTAGTTTTCTTTAAGTAAGGTTTCAGTTTAATTAATATATTTTATATAAATCAGATTATTAAGAGCTTATATTTAGATTACTTCCAGAGGAGAATTTTAAAAATGAGTGCAATAAAAAACACAGGAACGTTATTTTTATTACTTATTGCATTTGCATCTTTGGGCTTATCATCTTATTTGCCTTCAACATACTGATGATAGACAGAACTCTAATTTTAATCTTATGATGTCACGTCTTGCCATAAGAATCTGAAAGACTGCACTTGTGTTCATATTTTTACGTATGCAGTATGTTACTTGAGGTGTGAATACAGGTATTGAAACGGGAAGAGCGAGAGTGCTTTTCACAAACTCGGTAAAACTGTAGATCTCACAAAGAAACAGGATATTTCATTCCCAGTCTTATCCATTGAACTCAAATACAATTACCCAGTGGGCTGGTAGGGGAGTTTTTTTAAAACAAATTTAAACGGCAGGGAATTGTTAAAACAATGTTACAAAGTTATTCTCAGGGATTCTAGTTCCCCAACCCCCTATTCCCCTCCCTTTGTTTGGAACCCATTTCAGTACCTGTGTTTTGTTAAACAGAAAACTGGAAGAAAGTGTCTTACAGGGTATTGACAGGACATGGGTTTGGGAGTGGGAGGATTGCAAGGAAAAGGGTGGTTTTGCATTTTAAACTAACTACTAATTATGGTATGCTTGGTTCCTTTTGTTATAAAATACTTTATTTTAAGAGGTGTTGGATGATGTTGCTTGCCTGTACTAATACTTTGCAATTATTTCTGCTCATTCATTAACAACTGCAGTTCCTTTTAGTAAGTGGTATGGGTTTTAGCTTAACATAATTTTTATTCATTTATTATTAATGTCATGCACACCAAATTATATTGTGTTTTTTGTTTACTTTATACATTTCAGTTTTTATTCTTGTATATATTTATTTTCTCAGTATTTAAATAACTTTATTGTACTACTTGAACTTTATATGGTGCAGACAGTGGAAAGTACAGAATTTCTGCAGATATACACTCATTTTATGATGCCCGAGGATAATCTTTTAATTTTGATTGTCACTGTCACGTGAATGAGCATTTTAGGCTTTGTATCTCTGTCATTTCATAATTTACATGATTTTATATATATAACCATAAAGAACACTAATATTACATTTATAAATAGCCATGTTCTCCTTCTAATGCCAAAAATTGAACTTAAATGTTCTACGTCACTAATATCAAAGCCTGCCATTGGGCATGACTCTGAATCATTCATTGTCTTTCACCTCGCTTACAATATTTTTTTCCGTGTCATATGACATATGATTTAAAATCCTTATATCGGAGCTTCTGGTTTGACTTCAGATCTGCACCTTAATGGTGCAGTGGACTGTGGGTTTGCCATGACACATGGCTGCTAAAGTTTAACATTTTCCTCCCTTTTTTTTTTAATCCCCACTACATGCCTATGTAGGCGTTTGGGGTGAGTGGAGGTATAGCTCCTACTCATTCTTGACCTCAGCACTAGATGGGGGTGAGTGGTCAGCATCATGCCCCGGCCGTGCTTTGCCCCCGGGAAAGGACCCCGGTACCCATTGGACAAGAGGCTGGGTGGGCCCCAGAGCTGGTCTGGGCGCCGAGGCTAGAGGAAAATCCTCTGCCCCTGTCGGGGATCGAACCCTGATCGCCCAGCCCTTAGCTAGCCCATTACCTCTCTAAAATAATTCTGCATATCTTGGTCTACATAATATCTTGCGTTTGTTACTTGCTTCATCCGTCCCATGTGACTTACGCGTCTGTGTTACACATGTTCTTTATCATTTGGCAGTGTGATGAGGTACATTTGGAGAGATACTGTACTATTAATTGTCTAATGCTGTAGCTTTTAATAAAACTGAATACAGTGAACGAGAACGATTTGAAATGCTATTAATCCATGACAAATATGTATTGATATAATGATGCATAAAAATAATTTTATCTGTAATTTTAAGATAAGCTGATTAAAATTTGATGTAGTCAGTGTGTGTTAGAATTTTCCTTATTTTAATTTGTGTATATATATATATATATATTTCTTTTTATTTAATTTGCAATTGATGAACAAACTCTCTTCTCTGTTGCCTTGCGTTGCTTCTTAGATGTGTACATCTTAAATTTTACAATTGAATGGATATCAACAGGACATTTAACAGTAGCATTTAAAAATATTTTTTGTAACTAGTAACTGATCCCAGTCATGATTCACTAGTCAGTATGAAGTGCACTCTTCAATCAGGAAATATAAGTAACAAAAAATATGGCTTATTTTATTTTTCTGTGCATGCACAGAAAAATACATTCTTATTTGTTTAAAATCAAATAAAGCTAGTTCAAACAATAAAAATGAATAGTCATATTTGTCCGTACCTCTTCTGTGTAAATTATTTTTTGTATAATGTTACAGAATGGAGAGGCTAGCATAGAATGTGTGGTCAGCAGGTGAACAATTTGCAACCAAACACTATTAAAATTATTGTTAGTGTGAGCTTAATTTGTGACTAAGTCTGCCAGGGCTTATATGTAGAGACTGTACAAAATTCCTTCCATTGACCATGGAAGTCGGTGTATACAGTTTCTTATGTCACCATTTTTAAAATCTGGTAGTGCACGCAATTGTATTTTTCGCTCTGCAATTATTTTAGATGCTGAACGTGTATTTTTGTATACTCACTGCTTTGGGAGTCAGCTGACGTCCAGCATTCAGGTTATTGTCAGTATACTAACGTTTTTTTATTATCGAGGTTAGTAGTAACAAATTAGTGTTTAAAGGAGTCGATAGAAATTCATTTGTTACAGCACTAATCCCAGAAGTGTAGAGCCAACTCTGTGCATATTATATCTCAGACTGTGGAATGTGTCCGAAATAATTGTGGTGTAATCTTAGCAAAGAATTGCCTAATTATATTATTATGAAGCCCTGGTGTCTGTATGTTGCAAATTAAGCAATGGAAATTTAGGTCTGCAATTTGTATTTTTATTGTGAATTCAAACCATGGAAAGATGATATGACTTTATACTGTCAAAATGAAATTGTCTTTTAGATTGCATTTCACCCAAGTTTGAGTGCAACTTGGAGATGGACAGTATACTGGGAAGTTTATTAAACATTTTCCATGAAAACCATGACAGTGAATTATCCTCCGCCTTTCACCTTTTTTAATATAAACTATTTTGTGAATTATTGCACCATACTAATTTGACATGTGGATTAGATAATGATACTTTAGGTTTAAGTCATATCACTATTTTAAGAAGAATTTTGATTGCAGTTTTTATTTACATCTGTGTAAAATTCCTGTGAAGAGCCCAGGGACTTTTTAAAAATATATAACTGTACTAAAAGATTAGAATATATTTCACATTTTGTTTGCTTATCTATACTACTCCCACATATTAAAATATGTAAGGGTAATAAAAAGTGTATGGCATTTTGTAGGGAATTATATAGTTTGTATATATTAAACTAAGTAGTACTGTAACAAATAAAATGGTTCACCCTGCTCTAATGTGAAAGATATTAAGAAAAATATTGTCACAGTAAATGTTACCATAAATGGATTCTCATCTCCAGCTAGCAGTAAAGAACGCATGTGACTCGACAACAGATGCTTCCATCATTTGGTAAATGACTGGCATATTTGTGTCATGTTACTGTTGCTTTGTTTCAGATGATTATCTTTATTGCCTTTAACATGATAAATTCACATTAAAGCAACCACAGGACTACTGTAAAACATCCAATTCAGTTCATAGCCTCTTTTCCTGCATTCAGAAAAGCCAACTAACTAGGAAAAGGTGAGTGGTCATTTTTACCCTCTGTCTGCCTTAGTTCTAGGGAAATTTCTCACTACTCGCTAAATAGAAGCCATTAGATCTACTTGGGATGTGGCGACAAAATGTTCTGTTATTGCCAGGAACTATGACAGTGAATCCAGTTTGAATCCTGACTGGGGACTATCTTGTGGTATTCCTCAGTACCTATAGGGAGACGACTTCTTCTTCTATGGCTCTCCAGTCCGTATTTGGTCCATGGCCTCCTCAATTCTCCTCTTCCATTCGGTCCTCTGTTAGGTCCGTCTGTCCGAGGCTTTGATTGAGGTTTCGAAACATCTTCCTTTTTACGGTGCAAGGTTGTTAGCCTTGCGACCAACCTCCAACCTTGAGGACCAGGGTACCTGTCTCAGTCTGACCTCTCCCTCTCGACCAATCTGGCTAGGGAGGCCCTACCAATAGCTCTTGGGGTCACTGAGGTACTCAAGCCCCACCACCACGACAAGGTGCAGGATAGGGAGACATCTGGATCAAAAAATAAGTTAAATCATTCCTCATCCTTTCCAACTATGCATGTTCATCATGCCTTCTCATTTAATGCTATGTGCTATCTACATTTAATTCTTTGTAAGTATAGGAACAAGCCAAATACCATATTGAAATTTTAAAATTAATGATGTATAAGGCCGTAAGTTTTTGTTTGATGATTATAGGGTGATAAAACAAT